ATATATATATATATATATATATATATATCAAACAAACTTCAATCAGGCTGCACTGGATTTTGATTTCAGAAATTTTACCTTATTCTGATCTGTCCAGTACAGGAAGTATCCCTGCGGATCGACGCGCAGCGTCACTGGAGTCACCGTAGACGAATCCTAAGCAGAGAAAAATGACATTAAGTATAAATACACAGCAGAATTAATGTAAAAATGGTAATGGACAACATATTCACAACATGCATTAAGGTCCCATGAAAAGACAAAGATATTGTTTAATGCACAGATGTATTTTCTTTTGAAAAAGGGCTGGAAACGGGGAACTGAATCAGGATATAATTAAATGTAAAATAGCCAATAACCTTTCATTTATATAGACCATGATTTACCACTTGCTTGGTAGACAACAATTTTGGACAATGCACATCATGCACATGAATCTGAATGCAAAATGGCATTCTTTTTGGTCGCTACTGCTGGAGGAGAAAGACGGATCTTAAATATATACATCATAAAAGTTTCCTTTTACACTTGCATATAGATGAGCTCTGAGAAGAGTTATAATTAACTAAATAAAAACATAAAAAATGTTCCTTCCAATAAAAAACTTTTAAAAAATAAAATGTTTTATTTCTGATACATGCAAAAGCAACATTTCGCATGTTTGTTTAGTTTATCTTGACATATTAAAATAACTAAATGGGAAGCACTTGCCATTGCTAGACAATAATTTTGGACAATATGGATCTAAATGCATGCATGTTAAATGAAATAAAATTAAGTCCAATATAAAAAATATATATATAAAATAAAATATTTCTAATTTTCATTTAGTTTAACTTGAAGTATTAAAATAAAGAAAATTCAACAAAAACTAATAAATAAAAAAAATTATAAAGACTATATAGATTCATTAAATATTAAACACACAACAAAATTACTAAAAATAAATACAAATAAAGTAAAATTCTAAATATTAACAAAAGCTAATAGTATGTACTAAAATAGCAATGGCTTAGACAGATAGATGGAATAAAACCCATTCAAGTTGTAACAACCATTCCACATTAAGGGCAATATGTAACACAATAAAATAATAGGGACACCATCCAACTCTTTTGTACAGAGTATAATTGCCAACCAATCAGTACATATCACAGAATATTTAGAGGACAAAAGACCACCCCACCACCATGCAGTAATACCCTATAATCAAAACCATGTCCATTCAGTCCTTCAATATAAACTCAGCCCAAAAATGCAACCCGGAAACACACACTGGGGCAAGAATATACATATTCTATGAAAAAAAAAACAGCGACGAATTATCTGATTGTCCATGCACACAATGTAAATTCAGTTCGCAACCACAGTCCTGTAGTGATGGAAAAAACTCCTCAAAAAGCAAGAAAAACTTAATCCAAATGTAAAGTTGCAAATAGTAGAAGAAAAAGAAAAGACAATCAAACAATCCAAACCCGGGCAATCCAAATGTCCAAGAGAAGATGTTGGCGTAAAGTCCGCACAGAATTCAAAGATTCCAGATAGCACACCAAACACAGTCAATCAAAAACATGCATATACTGGCCCACCAATGAGTGTCTTTAACAAACTGGTCCTCAATTAAAGGCCAGAAGGGACAAAGATGAATGCCAACTCAAACCCTCCTTTTTCTTAAAATCCGTCTTCTCCCCTTGAGCCAAACTACCACATGGGGTGCTTCTCAAACGGAAGGCTGCATCCTAAAAAAAGGCTGCATATCTTGAATGCCACGTCATCAAACGTCTCTGAAGGCCATCTCAATCGGAAGGATCCTTGGAAGGCAGCCTTCCTTTCACGTCCTTCATTCATCTGAATTTGAAGGATGCATGGAATGTATCCTCCGCGACCTTCAATCACCCACAATCCTTTGTACCCATTCCATTTCATGAAAATAAACTGACGAAAAACGATTCAGCACTGAGCTTGTCTGAATTTATTATGCAATGTAAGACAAAAATAATGTTTTCGGACATGAAAGGATAGATGTTATCTTTTGTTTTGGTGTAAATTACTTAATAAACGCTACACTGCCAATAATTTAAGCCACAGGGAGACTAGACGACATTGTATAGCATTAATAGAAAGCAAAATAATATAAAGATTTGTAATAATGTATTTTTCCAAAATTACGTTTTATTAGTATTTTCGTACTGTGGCAGTGAGGGTGGGAACATATGTGACGTAGCCACGCGCACTTACTAGACTGTCTCATTCTAGCGTTTAACGCCGAGGAGGACTCTAGCCTACAAGCCTCTAAAGGACTGAGCTAGGAAGGACGCAGCCTCGGTAGGATGCAGCCTTCCGTATGAGAAGCACCCATGCCCCTTGTCCAAATACCCACACTTGCGGTCTTGGCCACTTGAGAGCGCGTGCGCGCGACAGGAAGTAAGTGTGCAAGACTACCAGGTCTTAAAAACACCAGAGCGCAGTGCCCTTAACACACACTAAATCCACACTATCTCGAAGACCGCTCCGGAGCCGTATTCGAGGCTAAGTGTATCCCATCATGCATCATGCTCTGGAAATAAATCGTGATACTTTTTGCAGAGATCTCGCGAGAGGTCACGGAAACCTTTCCAATGCAAGTTAAATATTAATATAATAATTAGATATTACATATAATTTGGTAGAAAAACACTGCTTTTACGTTTTATTGGTTCAAAGATGAGTAGTGGTGATATTTATTTTGTACAACATTTGCAACGGCTTTTTATCACTTAATTAGAAGCACCACGAATTTAAATTGTCATGTTATAGGGACTACTGAACAGACATTTAGAAGTTGATTTTAAAATTAAAATTAAAATAAAGCTATGTAAACACTTGCATTTTTACAACACTATAAGTGTGTCCCATCAGGTAATGAAAAGTTCGACACACACTTGTGGTCTTCATGCTCACTTGAACACTTGGGCCAAATACAGGAAATACGTCACATAAGTAGTCAAGTGGTTAAGTGCAAAGACCGCAAGTGTGGGTATTTGGACAAGGCTCTAGTTTCAAGGGCTAACCTTACTTCCTTAGCTCTTGCTCATTTGGGTGTTCTATCACCTTTACCTGAGACTATCGCCCCCCTGGTGACTAGGAAGAAAATTACACCATAACAGCAATCACATCGAAGTAACAGAAGTAACTCTGGCAGGTTCTTGCCATTTGGGTGCTAACTTGGCCATATAATGCATCACTTTCTCGAGACAATGGGTGAGTGAGTATCGATACTAAGTCACCTTCTTCATATTGGTCTGGTCTCCTTCTGAGGTCATAATACTGATGGTGCTTCTGAATAAATAGCCATTCTGAATGATATAACAGGTGCGACTTGGATTACCATCAGACATTTTGGCTTCATCCCAGAGATGCCTAAGAGCAATGTCCCCTTTCTGCCCCAGCCCAATGTCATCCCAGTTCAAAGGTAAATTACACAGGGCTCTGACTGCCTGAGAGACTGCTATTGTCTCGGGAACTCCCTCTTCCATTCCCTGAGACAGAGTGTCAAGAACCACATTACACTGTCCTCTTCGACACCTTACTGTAAAGTTGAAGCCTTTGGAGCATTATGGCCCATCTTGTTAGTCGGGATAAGGGTCTAGGATGATTAAAGACCCAGGTAAGTGCTGAATGGTCTGTAAGCATGTCAAAATGTCATCTTTCAAGGTATTCCCGGCATTTCTGCACAGCCCATACCATGGCGAGACACTCTTTTTCAGCTGTTGAGTATGACTTTTCAGCCCCTTGAAGCAGCCTGGAAGCATAAGCTACTATGTTTTCTCCTTGCTTCATCTCCTGCGTTAATACAGCACCCAAACCGATGTTACTGGCATCTGTTTGAACTCTGAAGGGTCGACTGAAATCTGGAGGTCTCAGGATAGGAGCTTTTTGCAAGGCTTCCTTTTGACCAGGGGTGGCGAACGTTGGTCCTGGAGAGCAGCAGCCCTGCAGAGTTTTGCTTCAACCCTAATCAAACACACCTGAACAAGCTAATCAAGGTCTGAACTGTTACTAGGAAGCTACAGGCAGGTGAGTTTTCATTAGGGTTGGAGCTGAGCTCTGCAGGGCTGCAGCTCTCCAGGACCTGAGTTTGCCACCCCTGCTTTAGACCCTCAAAGGATTGTTGACACTCCCGAGTCCATACCCACAAGGCATTTTTTTAAAGGCATGAAGGGGCGCTGCAATCTCAGAAAAATTAGATATGAAGCGATGGTACCACCCCTCCAAGCCAAGGAATCGTTGGACTTCCTTGACAGTTTTGGGAGTTGGTAAGTTTTGTACAGCTTCAAGCTTAGATGGTTTGGTCTTTACTCCCCCTTCTGAGATGACATGACCCAGGAATGAAAGGGAACTCTTTAATAGGTTGCATTTTTTCAAGTTCAAAGTCAGACCAGAAGCTTCCAACTTTTCAAACAGCTGTCTTAAATGCCCAAAGTGTTCCTGAGCATTGGCCAAATACACAACAATGTAATCTATATAGATGAAATAACATCTTCCGATAGGGAAGCCATACAGTGGAGTCTTTTCGTTTAAAGACCTACCGTCCTTTTATGGCACCAGTACGACGTGTGCAGCTCATGGGGAAGTTGAAGGATGTATGATCCGCCTTTCCAGCATCTTGGACACATCCTCATCAATTAATTTTTGCTTGTGAGCTGGTGTGGGATATGCCTGTTTCCTCACTGGCACTTCATCACTGACGTTAATATGATGTTTTATGACAGCGGTTTTCCCTAGGGAATCAGTGCATACCGTAGACCAATCGAGAAGACAACTTTCTAATTGTCGTTTCTGGGAGCGTGCAGTATCTGCTGTATCCACAAGTTCTTTGATGACAACTCTCATGGTCTCATTGACCCAGGCAGCAGGCAAAGCTAAATGTAATCTAGTTGCACTCGGAAGTGGATCAACTTCATGGGGAGGCGAAAAGAAAGAAAACCGATGAATCCTATTCTCTTCTGGTAAGGAATAAGTGGCAGCATGGAAGTCCAACACCACACCAGATGCATTTAGGAACTCAAGTCCGATTATCAATGGGAAAGTCAGATCCCGATCCCTCATGATATAAGCTTTGAGGGGATAAACATGGCCGAATATGGTACACTCCCATACTATCTTACCTAAAGCAT